GCCATATAAACTTTCCCATCACTTTCTTTCTTTTGAGTCAACTATAAAACGATTTAGTTGTGTTTATCTGCATGTATCTGTGCAAGTTACATGGCAGCAATACCTGTGCATCCAGATTTATAGCTTGGATTCCTGAGAGGTTTTTTACAAGTTACTGCTTTTTGATGCTATATAAAACCCTTTTGAAAAGGGTTCTATATAAAACCATATACAGCGCATTCTCTATTAATCTGAGGAACCATTTCACGATGCAAAGATGCATATTTTGTCACACTACACTTGTAAAATAGGCTAGTGATATTGTGGTGTCGGCCACAGGGTGACCAAAAGAGGCTCAATTGAGAAGGTGTTGTTCTTTCATTAGAGGTATGTGTATGTGTCAGGTGTGTTATTGCTTTGGGGTGTGGGGTTGTTTGTGTGTGTGAGGGGTTGGGGTTCACCGGTAGCAGGAAGTATGTAGTTAGTGGTGACCTCCTGCATAGGTTCGGTATATGTATGCCTGTTTCTGCCCGTTGTTGATTAGAGAGTTGTTGTCGGATCAGCATCATGGCTTCAGCTGAATCTTCTTTTGATCACCATTACAGCAACATATATTGATCAGCTTCAATCCTACAGGTTATGTATAGTTCAAAATACATGCCAACACACTCTAAATGATTCTCTGCGTAATTACTACAATACCTGGTTGCCAATACAGTATACCAAAGCTATTATAAATAAACGTGGCAAAAATTCTTGCTATTTATCTGAAGTGACCCTTCGCTATGGATAAGAGCAATACATACATAACATGATCCCACAGTAGCCTACTGTTGCTAAAAGGATAGGAAGATAGGAATTCCACCTCTTTGTCCAAACTCTTGAGATATCGGGTTTTTGATTCGTAAGTTCCCTCCACATGTGAAAGCTCCAGCAGAGTTCTGAACTATTGAGCGCACAAGCCTAGTTCCAGTTGATAACCGTCAACTAGACAGCCGGTGTTTAGGGCAGGATAAGAGGCAGTCCGACATGTTCCTTAGTCACTCACAGAGAGTTTGGAATATACTGTACTCTGCGATCAGACTCCTCATAGGTGACAGAATAATGTGGTACATTTTGCTGCCCTTGTTCAAGTGTTGCTCTAGGTGATTGGCTAGTTTGGACATGCAGGCCCTAGTTACAGCAGATGACGTTATTTTGTTGGACAAAATTGGATAGTGTCTATTCATTTTTAGTACAGGACCATAAAGTATTATGTTAGTTTCATAAAATAGACCCTAGAATAATGCCAAAATAAAGCCTTTGCTATGAAAATGGAAACAAGTTACCTGTACTATCATTAATATTATTTTTATTTTCAAAGCACATATTTTCTTTGACTCTTGATTTTTTGAGTCTAGACCAAAAAATTAGACATCATGTCTTTTATATTTTATGTTCATTTTACTTTTAAAACAAAGCAATATACAATGCAATTGTTATCAAATTAAAAAAAAGACAAAGTTCCAGAGTGTTCCGATTGGCGTTGTAGAAAAAGATGCTTATATACATTTTTTTTTACAGTGATGTAAAAATGTTGTGATGTTACACAGTGTAACAGTCACAGTCAAGCTTCTGATGCAGATGTAAAACAGCAGATAGTAATCAAAACTGCTTGAGTGCAGTTATCATAGCGTGTCTGATTAACTAGTCACAACATTCTCGATAATATTGTAACAGCAGAGCAGGAAAGGCAAAATTGCTTCAGTATAAATCAACATTGTAAAACTGCCATCCTAGTATTCATCAATTGGCTGAATGTCTGAATAATATGCCCTAAATATTTTTGATGAAGTGAAAAATTAAAATTTATTTATATTTATGTATTATGATTATTTATATTATATAGATATTTATTAACATTGTAATACCAGAGCAGAAAAAGCAAAATTGCTTCAGTATAAATCAACACTGTAAAAACTGTCATCCTAGTTTTCATGTGCCTGGGTGTCTGAATAAATATTTCTGAAGTTAATTTTGAAAGAGAAATTCTAAATTGGGTGCAGCATTTCAAAAACATCCTAGGCAGAAACTGTAGCTTATGACCAATCTGTTTTCCATGAAAATCATGCATAGCAAGATTTCCCAAGAGTTTACTTAGAATACCTGACACATCACAGTATGTATCATTGTACTCAGGCTTTAGCAGGATCTTCAGAGTGTGTAATGAAGCCATCTTGGAGTTCTTCCTCATAGCATGCTTTGACATGCTGTGTCAAGTAGCAGCAGTGATGTTGTTCCTTTGAAAGGTGGTATATACACACACACACACACCGATCAGGCATAACATTATGACCACTTCCTTGTTTCTACGCTCCATGTCCTCATTGTCAAAACTCCAGCAGCACTGCTATTTCTGATCCACTCAGACATATATATATATACACACATACATACATCGGTGTGTGATCGGTGTGTGTGTGTGCGTCAGTCTAATCTCATCATAGATTTTCTTTAAAAAATCCAAGCAGAAACAGCTCAGTATTCTGTAAGCCGGTTTAAAGAAAACTATGATGTGGTGTTTTACTTTTTGGTGATTACTATTGTATGGAAAATGTTTCTTTTCAAGTATGTTTTAAATACAGAAAATACAACAATTTCCAGACTTAATTTAAATAATTTGCTGCTATAAATCATCACATGTTCTACACTGAATGTCTCAAATATAAACCATACAAATAAGATTAACAAATATTTGCTACAGTAATTTGCATAAATCACAAAATTTGGGGGACAACTCCACTAAAAGACACAGAATTCAGAACACACAGATATTCTTTCAATATTTGTGATTTAAATTAAAGCATTATGGCAAAAGCTTATTGCACACTTACAGCATTCTAGAAAAATTTATTGTGTATAGAAATAGAGAAATAAGGCACAATTCATGGTAAATACCAGGAGAAGCACAAAGCTTCCACAAATCAACTCACAACTTGTGTTTCAAGTGAGGGACACAAATCGTCAGAAAAAGGCCACACAGCAACAAAATCCACCTCCTCCATTCTGAATAGACATGTTTGGTGTCCAAAGTTTGCCTCTTAAGGGGTGTGTAGCTAATAAGTAGTCTAATGAAAGCTTGAACAAGCACCATACAAACTGCATTAGCATCGTAATTCCAGCGCAAATCTGAAAAAGCAAACCTCAAACACTAAACATGTCTCAGGTTAAATTTGGGGTAAAGGGGGAACAAACATCAGTGTTACAACAAGGGTTACTTTAAAAACAAATTACTGATTATGTCACAAAATGTAAAATGTAACCTAATCCAAAGGATTACTAAGAAAGGCTTAAAGTAACAATCTTATTACTTGTCATTTCTTTTGGATTACTTGTCTTTATAAACTCATATTAAATACTCCTGTTCAAACAAATTTCAACAAGACATCTTTAAAGAAACTGCAGGAAAACTGCACTGTTTATGAGACAAAATGATACAGTATAAGTGACACATAATTGCCAAGAATATGCCAATGGCGTAGTTAAAATTTCCAGCAAAGGCCAGCTAGGAAGCATTGTCTCAGAGTTATACTTGCTGGTTTCCAACCATCCAGTTAACTTGGGTGTTGCTATGCCAACCACAAGAACAGTAGACATTGGTGGAATGAGGTGGAGTGAGTTTCACCTGACAAAGTTAGCAAAAAAAATCAAAGGACAAAGAAAAGAATCACTTTTTTTGCCATGTGAAAAATCACATTTGTTGTGTGAGTGATAATGTAATCCTGCTAGTAATTATCCTGTTTTTATAATTTACATGTAATCTGATTACTCACTTTTTTCTGTAACTAACAGATTACAGTTACCTTTTTTGTATCCTGATTATGTAATGCTGTTACATGTATATGTACTACCCAACCCTGATTATATCACCTCGCTTTATATACCTGCTGCTATGAAAGGGCTGTTATTGTTTATCTGGAAAAATCACATGAACAATGGGCTGTGAATAACAGGAAAAAATGAGGCTGGAAATCAAACTAGATTTGAGTTGTTTGCTAAAAGGTTTGATTGAATAAACTAAATGAAGGACAACTTCAGATTCATTCTCTTTAACATCCATTTCACAGCCAAAAAACATGAAGCTAGCAAAGTGCAACTTTTAGCTAAAGTGATTCTGCGAGAGGTTGTACAGGCAGGACGTCATGATCAAATGTGATGTGAGCCATAGGACCCAGTCAGATTCCACTCCATTCAATTCCAAAGTTCCTATCAGATGTCGTTGCAAAACTCAAGGCATCCGGTACTGAGACTAATGAAGAGCCCTACAAATGAGTTAACCCAGTGTCTCCCTTTCACTGTCCTTGAGAGATTTTATATACACTAAAAATTATGAGTGCAAAATAATTTAAAAAATGTTTCAACACAGTAAATTACAAACAGCCATTTACAGTAGCCTGAAACACAGAGAAGCTCAGTTATTCTAAATTTCTGGATAATGTTTTCTATGCACCATTTTCACACCATGGCATAAATATTTAATCTTACTGTTTTAACATCATGTAGAAAACACAAAAACAGTTGCTTTTTGAAATTATTGGCATCTCTGAATGTAACAATTTATGTAGCCTCTTTTTGCCAAATGAGCATTATCGTCTATTATAATGTTTAATGTAGAATATTTCCAAATCCCTCAGGCTCCATTTATATTGGGTTTAAGAGAGGTTTTAGACAGGAGACTGGAACTGGATTATACAGTAAGTTTAATGACATATAGCCTAAAAGGTTTGCATATATAAGATACACACACACACACACACACACACACACACACATTATATATATATATATATATATATATATATATATATATATATATATATATATATATTTACCTCTCTTATCATCATATCATTTTACCATTAGTTTGTCTAATTTCATGTATGTATTCTCTCCATTCTGATAATCATTGAGAGTGTGTCATGTGTTTATACTAGTAAAAAAGAACACTAGTCACCCACATAACAACTGTAATCAACATAGAATTATCTTACCAGTTGTATTTCACTATATCGAGTTACAAAAATTGTAAAATGTTTGAGGAAAAAAATAGTTCTTACTTTATATTTTCTGATCAGTGTAGTTTTCCTTTTCAACTGAAGATTTATATTTCTTCCACAGTCCAAGTACACAACCATGACTAATGGCTTCATCTGCATATCTTAGAGACTCTATGTTTAACAAATAAACAACTAATTACAACTGGGGACTGCAAGCTATTTTAAAGGAAGACAAAACCTGAGTGGGCTGGGAAAAAAAAAACATAGAAAACCCATATTGCACTTTTCCACAAAGTCCCAGTCAGAAATCACTACCACAAAACAACAATAAATAAATAATTATCACTTAATCACATGGATGAAGATCAAACAGACAGTTTTTTGGAGAAAGAAAAATAAACATAAAATGATAAACTGGAATCATGCCTGAAATGCTTCATCAAATCCCCCCATTAAAACCTAATCTTTGTTTACCATACTCCATTAGACAACACTGAGCAGATTCCTAGGGTCATTTTAGTAACTGAAGCTCCCTTTTTACTTATAGCATTCTCAATTGAAGGTGACAGCACGGCCCACACAGATTACTAAGTGAAGGAACAATCCGTCCTAAGCGACGAAGTTCATTCTAGTCATGACTTATGTCAGCTGGACACGATATGTGCAGATTTCCATTGGTTTAAGGTTGATCTCCTGTTCCGCTGGTCCTCTTGGGGATTGGTGCATCAAAGACAGCGAGACAGGAATGAGGCTGATAACTTTCAGTTCTGTCAGGAGTTGCTCTAAGTGAATCTAAATATAAAGAGCATATAATGTTGGTAAGCCTCCAGAATTGAATGTCTGGGTATTCAAGCAAATGATTAATGATGTGTGCATTAGATATTCACAATGGTGCTTATTCATCAAAGTTGCATATGGTCAAATCTGATCATTAAGCAGTTGCACTATTCACTACTCATCAGTTTCATCTTTGGCGTATTTGTATGATCATCTTCAAGTCATCTTCAAGAATTTTTTTGGGTTGCTTTTTTCTCTTCTATGACAGCACATCTATGGTAAGTGCATTTGAAATCAGAAGTGGGAACCACAGTATGTGTCACACAGTGTTACAGAAACACTCAGTCATGCTGCATGGCTCCTGGTAATACAAGCTTGTGTTACTTTTACAAACCCAACCCAAAAACGTTTGGACAGTATATGAAATGCTAACTAAAACAGAAAGCAGTGAATAGCGAATTCTGTTTGAACTGTATTAAACTGAACAGAAACTGTACAAAAACTCAATAATTGATGGTTTCCAGTATTCAATATAGAATTTTTAGCGATTCTTCCATTATTTGTCTTCAGCTGCACAACTGTATGGCCTTTGTTGTTATATTCAGTGCTTCATAATGTGCCAGACTCTTTGAAAGGGAGACAGAGAGGCGAGTCAAGCATCTGCACTCTCTGTTTACACAGTAATGATGTTGTTATCAGATGTGCAGAATGGTTCTTGGCGTTATGTTGAAATAACCATGGACTTCCTCGAAAAAGACTTTCTCAAATATCTTTCAGTGTATGTATCTTTCAGTGTTAATGATGCTTTGGATTGGATGGTTCTTTTCTTCTCTGTCTCATGGAACACAACTTTTTCTTAAACAACTATTTCTTAAACAATCTGAAAGGTTGACTCATCACACCACAATACAAATTTCCACTGTACACCAGTCCATTTCAGATGAGCTCAAGACTAGAGAAGTTGGCAACATTTCTGGACGTTGTTTACATATGACTTCCAATGTGCATAGTACAGTCTTAAATTGCATTTGTAGCCACAGCAACAATCAACATTTATTGACAACAGTTTGTTTGTGAAAGTATTTGAGCCCATGTGGTGATATTCATCCAAGCATGCTGGTTTTTAAAGCAATGTTGTCTGAGGGATTGAAGGTCACTGGCAGTGATGATATTATGCAACAGAGGGTGAAACACGCAACATCCTTGCAATCGCTTATTGAAGAATGTTTCTCTGTTTCTCTGCATTATTTGCTTGCATAAAAAAGTGGCAAGCCTTGACCCATCCTTGCCCATAAAGGACTAGACCTTTCCATCACCTGTTTAAAATGTTTTTGCATAAGATACATTTAACAACATTTCTAGTCCTAAATTGCCCCTTTCTGGAAAATGTTGCAGGCATTAATTTCAGAATGAGCACATATTTCAAAATGAAGCTGTCAAGGTAAAACAAAAATTATTTGGTTAGATAATTATTATCTTGGTTTTATTTGGGTACAGTTTAAAGTGGATTTACAAATCACTGCTTCCTGTTTTTATTTGCATTTTACTTACTGTCAAAATTTTGTTTTAGAATTGGGTTTGAATTTTCAGTTAGTTTTACTTTTAGTAATGCACAGTGTGCAGTAGTCTAGCCAAGTAAGTCTCATGCAGAGATATAGGCCGATTCTTTTTTCAAAGTACAAACAAATATTTAAAGTTTCTACACAACTTTGATGAATATGTCCTTATGCATATTGTAGTGCAATTCATGAAACCAACAGCTTTTCTCATTGTTAATATAGGCAATGTAAAGTAGACTGTTGGCTTTTTATAATCTAGCCTTATTCTTTACTTATTAAACTGTTCTGTCTTCCTTAGTTAGAAATGAATTCATGGGGTTCTTTTGCTACTTTAATGAGACTGAAACACCGAATTGACTAACTTTATAAAATTACAGAACATTACAATTACTACAAAAGTACCATTTTAGGATAAAAGACATGATGCTACATCTCTTACTGGAATTTTCCTCAAGCACAGCCTGTCACACCAAAGGAATATCAGTTTGTTTAGAATGTTGAGAGTCATGGTTTTAATTGTGCGTAGTACAACTGCATGAGAAACCTTTCTGGGACTTGATGGTTTGGACACATTCTTGACAAATAATCCACAACGAGAAGAAGCTTCCTTTGGAAGGTCTCTTTGTGCCACATTAAAGCAGGCTTGATGAAAACTGACCTATACATTTGCATCAAGGGTCAAAGCATTTACTCAAGTACAGTGAGCTGTACAACAGTTTTATGTGTATTCTTAGCATATGGACACAGTTGAAGTTGATGTATGATTAGGTTTTTGTGTATGTGCATTTGCACTTGTATGGTCACCTGTGCAGCATTACCTTGCCACGTGTGGTTCTGCACAGTAGGCCAGTGTCCTTAGTGGAGATGCTACAGTCAAAGCCTTTTCTGTGCAGTATTAAAGCAGCATGCTCAGATGGACCTCCCTCTTCCTCCTGCAAAATACACACAACCCCACTGAGATTATTGAACCCTCTGTGTTAGTTATTGGCTGCATGTCGTCCCTAAAAGACCTTATCCTGTTACTTAACCACAGTTCAAATACAGTCACTGGGATTAGTGTGACTGTAAACAAACTAAAATGAAACACTGAATATTTTCTTTTGCATATCTTTTGACTGATATCAGCATTAGCTGGTAAGACTTAGGATTGCATTCAGGAGAAACTGAAAAAAGATTTTCAAGCCTATTCATTTTTACGTGCATGAGGATTTATTTACAATTTTAGACGTGGTTAAGAGGGAATAGTGTTTATTAAGAATGATTTGTCAAAGTATTCCTTAGCCCATGCAGTGATATCCATCACAGATCAATGCAGGCATCACACCATTCAGTTCAGTTGTGGTTTTGGGCCTTGCTTTTTATGCACAGAAAATTTTTAATCTTTTGATAATATTATGCACCATAAAGGGTGAAATACCTAAAAACCCTGAAAATGCTCATTAAGGAATGTTGTTGGACTACTGTTGGACTAAACTGTTGACATATTTGCTGTGCATTTTTTGGCAAAGTGGCAAACCTCAACCCATCCTTTCTTGTAAAGGACCATGACTTTCCTGGATGCTCCTTTTATATCCAATTTTATATCCATTTCATGCATTTCACATACTGGCCCAACTTTTTGGAACTGGGTGTGTAATAGTATTCATGTTTGAGCTAAGGTTTTCTGTTCCAAAAAAGCACTTGTGCTGTCACTGATGTTACGCAGTGTCACTAGTGTAACAGTTCTGATTTGCTACCATATTACAGCACTGTATTTATAGCTTTTTAAGCAAACAATAAAAATTAATCAATCAATATACACTGACATGCCAAAAGTCATTGGATAGCAGTGAAGTGGTGTTACCTTAGGGGACAGCTTGGGAACACCCACACTCGTATAAGTTGTGAGGTGTTATCTTGTGAGTGAGGTTTAACACTGGCCAGTGTGCTCATGGCAAGGAGACGTGAATTATCGAAGATCGAACGAGGCGTGATGGTGGGTGCCAGATGGATGGGACATTCCATTTCCGAAGTTGTGCGGCCATTAAATATTCCTAGGTCCACAGTGTCACCAGGAATACGTCATAGGAGGCGTTACCACCCACAGTGCAGTGGCCGCCCACAGGGTCGTTAATGATCGTGACTGGCAACGTCTGGCTAGAATGTCCGTGTGAGCAGACAGGCAACTCTGGCAGAAATCACAATCACATTCAATGCAGGAGGCCCCATAAGCATATCCGGTCAGTGCAAGTTAGCTACTATGGGACATGGGAGCAGAAGACCGACCAGAGTGCATCTGTTAACACCACGACATCGGACACAGTGCCTCACCTGGGCTTGTGAGGTTGCTAACTGGACCACAGAAGACTGGCAACATGTGGCATGGTCCAATGAGACAGAGTACCTATTGTTTCAGGCTGATGGCAGGGTTTGTATGTGGCCACTGACGCCATGAAGCCATTGACGCCAGTTGTCAAAACGGCACAGCACAGGCAGTGTTTGTTCCCATACCGGTGTGGGATGTGTTCTTATAACATAGCTTGGGTCCACTGGTCTGCCTAAACACGTTGTTGACCGGTGACCACTACGTTTCACTGCTTGGTGACGATTTGTAGCCCTTCATGGACTTTGTGTACCCCCACAATGATGGGATATTCCAGCAGGATAATGCACCGTGCCATTGAGCCCAAGTTGTCCCAGAATTGGTTCAAGGAGCATTTTGGAGAGTTCCAATGAACGGTGTAGCATGCATGTTTGCCCGACATGAACCCAATCAAGCATTTATAGGATGTGCACAAACACCATGGAGCTGTGGGTGGCTATCCAGACAGCATGGCTCAACATCCCTCCAAATGTCTTTTGCACACTGGAATTGATGCCACATCAAGTTGCTGCACTTCACCAGGCTAGAGGGGGTCGTACACAATACTAGTTCCTGTCCCATGACTTTTGGTAAGTCAGTGTACATCTTTTAATTCAATATAATAATATGAAAAAAAAATCAACAACAGACATTTCATTTTCGAGAAATTAAAGTAAATGTGATTTATATATTTATAAATAACATTTTTAGTTTTTTTTTTTTTTCTTCATTTAAAATATCACTGTTTGGAGACAACTTTACACTGACGTAACGTATATGTAAACTGACAAGTAAAACTTAGTTTTGTTAACTCCTTCAATACCACTGTGCACAGCTTGTTTATATCGCTCTGTAAAGGTATGTGTAACTTTGACCGGAAGTGAAGAGATGGGTTAGCCTCGCAAACTGTGCAGACACATCCAGGTGATTTCCGGTGTTGCTTTTCATTTAGCAATATTTTCACATTCCTGAGAAGAGTTAAAAACAAAAGTTCAGCCTAGTGACTCTGTTGACTCCCCAGGCAACCTCTTGTAGTCACTTAACAATAATATAATTAATATCTAGTTCAACCAATTTGCAATGATGGCACCTTTGGTCTAAACTAGAACTTAACATATGATAGCCGTGAATGTAAGTTTTCATTGTTAATTAAATCATTAATAATGATTTGATGCTCTAAGCATCACAGAAGCGTGGATTAGACCTGAAGAATACTTTGCTCTAAATAAAGACACCCCCACAGGCTACAATTATGTACATGATTGTATAATTTAAACAGCTGAGGTGAAGACACAGCAACCATTTCTACAAATGCTTTAGGCATTAATCAGAAAGAATTTGCTGACTTTCTATCACGTTTAATAACAAATACAGTAATAATTTGCGGACATTTTAATTTTCACCTTGACAAATCTCAGGATCCACTTAGTAAGGTATTTGTATCTATCATAGACTCTGTTGGTTTCACTCCAACTATAATGGGGCCCACTCATTATTGCAACCATATTGTTTTTTAAAAATACTTATTTTCAGGATTTTCAAATATACACACTTCACGAAGAAACTGTATACATGAGAAAGAGGGAAAAAAACCCAGACTATACTGAAGCATTTAGACTTTCACTGAATTAAGAATTATAAGACCTCTGTGATCAACAGTACTTGCTAAAATCTAGTTGAGGAAAAGGCCCCCACACTCTCAAATTTACTCTAGGGTCCAGTTCTATAGTACCTTATCCTCTCCCATTGTAAAGCAGAAACCATTTCCTCTAACCATCTTGGACACTAGATGGGGAGACAGATTTCCACTCAATATTATTCTTTTAGCTATTACCACTCCTATATCACCAATATCAGCATGATATGCGTGCCAAAATGAGAAGATTTGTTACATTGATCTAACATTGTTTAAAGTACTGAACAATGGAAAGTAATGCAGCCCTGTCTTTATTACATTTCAAAACAGATTGTATTGAATTCTGACATGAATTCAGCATTTCATGTTTAACATGTACATCGTGCACTGTTTATCAGTAAAGTGGTAAAGCGGCATGAAAACAATGTAATAGAGGCTTCGTTTTATATAGAGTGCTGTTTAATATCTCAAGAACATAACTAAAACTTATTTTTTTCAGCTACACACACACAAGTGCAACTAGTTCAGTGTTGTCTTCACAGTGGTCACACGGGCTGTTTTTTTTTTACGGTCTCTTAACTTTGTGAATGATTCTGTGACACTGTACAATGTTCAGAATTCTGCAGAGTTCTTGTTGGAGTCCTGTGGGCGCAGATTCCGTGCAAGCCTTGCAGTCCCCAAGACAAATTGTTTGTGTACGATTCTTGGTAAAATAAAGTAATTCTGATTAGCTTAGTGCTTCCCAACTTTGGTCCTGAAGGATCACTGTCCTACACATGTTAATGTTTACATCATTCCCAACACACCTGATTCAACTAATCAGAACTGGGTTTGCTGAAAGCATATTAGCACAATGATTATTCTTAAATGGTGATGCAAGCATCACAGTGAACACTTTCTCTACTTCTATTGATAAGATGATCTTAACAATGAGAATTTTGGAAAACCAGGTCTAGCTCATCAAAAAAACACCTACTATTTGCAACGTCTAAAGCAGGGAAGCCACTAAACCATATTGTAACCATAGGCAGTGTTTGTCTGACAGTTTTGTGAGTCTATGGTCAAAATGTCACTAACATTGGTGCTTGTGATTGCCACAAGCTCTTTCAGTCATTCAAAAATCACTTCCACATAAAACAACAGGGAATCACTTTGGAGAGAATCACCCTCAGTGTGTGGTTGTTAAGTGTTAAGACAGGCACCATATAATAATAATAATAATAATAATAATAATGATGATGATTATTATTATTATTATTATTAACAACATCTTAAGATTCCTTAAGCATGCATATGGCCAAGAACAAATAATAACTAAAAACTTCCAAATGCTTAAAGTGCTCAACGGATTTAAACTGTTTTTTTTTTTTCTTTTACAAATTTTGTTTAGCTGAATGCTACACTGTAACATTCTAGTAGACTTCAGGGAGAACCCACCTGAGACTGTATGGTGCGCAGGTTGACCAGGTGGATGTCACAAGGGAAAGGGGAGCTCAGAGGGCTGTAAGGGGCGAGGGCCAGTACAGTTGAGTCCAAACTGGTCATCATGGGCATAAACGGGTGGTTGAGGTACATGTAGGAGATGTGGCTCAATAGAGATGGGTAGCTGAATGGAGCAGTGTTTTCTCTCTGGGCCTACAACATCAGGGGAACAATTAGGAAATGTACTATTGATGTGCAAGCTGAAACATTTTTGCAAAAGCAGTGATGCAAGCATTTATGCGATGATTTGTTGAGGATCCTGGAAGGATGTCATAGGTATTGATGTTAATAGTGGTCTAGATTGATAGACAACAGTAACACTAAATAGCTGTAGAAGACATTTTTTGGTTGCTGGTGTCACCCCTTCGGCAGAGTTAAAGAGCTCCAGCAGCAGGCGAAAGGAGTTGGCAGTGATCTTGTTGTCTAACACTCCCTGGCCCAGGCCACGGTTGTCATCCTGGTTTAATCGTCGGTCCATGATCACCTCCAGCTGACCTAAAGAGTGCATACATAATATCTAGAGGTGCACCATAGATCAGCAGGTGATCACTGTTTACTGATAAATAGAAAAAATAAGTATCATTATGAATCCGATAGTGGAATTAAAGGCAACGATTACCACCGATAATTTAGGGCCTTATTTTTAGCTTGTACACATGATGATGCAAGTGGTGGAGCTATGTAAACCTGACAATCCATTTTCATTATCTTTAATGCATATATGATGTGCAGTCTGCATCATAGTGTGAACTTTTTTCAAAAGAGCATTAGAAATAAAGCAAATATTTAACGTGGTGCAGAACAGCAAGTGAATTAAAATAATTCACAAACTAGTAGTCATGCTTATCTGTATATTCCAGTACCCTAATTGTTTTAAGTGTTGTATACAAATATATTTTCTCCTTCATTTTTCACTTCATCAGAAACATTTAGGGCATATTATTGAGACATTCAGTTGACAAAATGACTTCCTCTGCTTTGGCCTAGAGCGATCCAGAATGAAATGCACCAATCAAATGAAGAAATTGGCGCTTCCATTCCTTTCCAAATTATGTTCCACATAACTGTCTTAATGTAATTTGCAAATATATGGGCTAAAGAACATGTCTCACCACTTTTGAGACTGGTAGCACCTAAAGACTGCGCTGTGAGCAGGGTTAGTCTTCTGCTTGAGTCCTCCAGGTAGGCCATGCTCGTCATGGGGTAGAAGTTAGCCTGCAGCGGCAGCTTAGTCATGGATCTTCTGGGCTGCACCTTGGAAAACACCCAATACACTATTAAAACATCTGTGTCTGACTGGACATCAGAGTATGTGCGGAGTGCGACTTTTATTATGGATGTAAATTGATTGTTAACTGACAGTGACTCTAAAAAGTTAATTAATTTTGACTGAACTGAAACAGTCTATATCTGTTTATGGTTGCACCATACTAATTAAACATTTGACAAATATGAAGTCTTTGAAATGTAATTGAATGACACCATGTGTATTTTCATCATTTCTACAGCAGATTTGTTACAAGTGCAGATTGTTTGGCACTAAGTGAGACAAATGTATTACTGTTTTTATTATGCCTTCTATATTCCAGGTCATATAACCACAGTCAATCAAAAGAGAGACAAAACAGTTATCACAGACAAAGTGAATAAGTGTACGCTGCTGTCAACCAAGATTGTATCAGTTGATTTGCATGCATGGGTATGTATGTTTTCAGTTCAGGGCTAAATATAATTTATAATTGGTTTAAATAACTGTAAAAATGAACAATGAAAATGCCATATAAAGTTCATTTTCTTTCTCTTGTTCTTTAAATTGTTTTGATTTATGTTACTTTAAGAAAGCTCAATACTGTAAGGTACTACAGAAACATAATTAATAATTAGTTTCATAGAAAGTAGCATAAAATGCCATTCCTTAGAATTGCACTTAACTTGGCAAGACTGAACTGGTTTTAATGTGATTAGGTTTGCAGGAGAAACATTTTTTCAACTAGTATCTTAGTTAAAACGACATTTTGTTATCTCTTATCAGAGAGTGGCTAAGTGACTTGTAATGAAGGCATTTAAACCAAATAAACATCCCTTTCTAAAGTCTGAATAAACTGCTGCATATGGGGCTCTGTAGCTCCAGTCAGAACCAGTACCCATGCTAACCCTTTCCACTGTCGAAAGCGCCTGCAATAAGCAAGTGAGTGTCGGAACTGGACTTTGAGGGTCGCTCATTTTTTTTTTTTACATCACATAGATGGCTGGGAGACAAGCCAGTAGAGGGAGCATGATGCTCTGGGCAACGTTCTGCTGGGAAATGCTGGGTCCAAGTACATGGACATCAGTTTGACATGTGCCACCTATCTAAACATCATTGCGGACCATACACACTCCTTCATGGCTCTTTCAGTAGGATAACGTGGCTTGCCACACTGAACACATTGCTCTGGAATGATTTGAAGAAACATGACAAAGAGTTTGAGGAATTCAAGAAAAAACGACAGATCTACTGGGTGATTCGGAAGGAGTGACATATTATATGGATGACATCTTGGTTTATGGCAGGTACAGAGAGGTTCATGACAATTGTCTGGCAGAGCTGTTCAGAATTCTGAGTAAGTCAGGGATAAAACTGAAAAAAAGAAAAATGCCATCTCCACCAAAGCAGCCTGGTCTTCTTTGAGCATAAGATCAGTGCACAAGGTGTCAGTCCAGATCCAGACAAATGTCAGGTGATAAAAGACAAGAAGCGCCTCAGAACACCAACAATCTGAGAGATATCTTACATCAATTATCTGTGCAGATACCAAAAAAGTCCATGGTCCTGCATCCACTGAACAACCTGTTTTGGTTAGACTCTGTGTGGACATGGGGACACAGCCAAGTGACAGCTTTTTAAAAAAGTGAAGGGAATGGTGACCTCTGCTCTAGAACTGGCCTTCTATGCTGCAGCACAACCCACTGTGTTAAGGGCAGATGCCAGCAGCTATGGGTTAGGAGGTGTGCTTCTACAGGAACATGGGGAGAAGCTGTTGTCCAAACTGGAGGAAGAAGTGGAAGCTTATGTGGCAAGCATGGGGGTACACAGACCAGATTCACCAAGAAAGTTGCAATAAATACCTATGTTTAGGGATGAAGATGAGAAGACACGGACAGTGTTGAAACACAAGAGGTTGGCCACAACACAGCAACTCAGTGACACCAACAGCCAAGCCTGATCACCGTCATAGGGGACTGCTGAGTGAGTCAAATGGGCTACTGCTATGGGTAAAGAAATGTAATTTCTACCAAACTCAGAAAAGATATGTTTAACAGAATTCACAAGAGCCATCAAGGCTAAATTGAGGGAAAGGGAAAAACTGTCAGAGCTGTCATCCCGCACAATGCAAGAAACCCCTCATGATGATAGAGTCACCTGCCACACTTTGGCAGTGCACAGCCTCTATGAGGTGAAAAGACAAAAAAATGCATGGTTGTTATAAATTATTTCTCAAGATACCTGGAAACTGCATACATGCCTGATACCCAGTGCAGAAGAGTAATATGTAAGCTAAAATGCATGTTTGCATGTCATGGTATTCTAGAACAGCTGGGACAGTTCACAGTATCAGAGTTTTCCAAAAAGCATAGAATATGATTTTGAGCACATTACTTCCACACCTCATTACCCTCAGTCCAATGGGGAGGACTCAACTGATGTAAACAGCAAAGAAGACCCCTTTCTTGCCCTGCCAAACTACAGAGCAACACTAATTGCTACTACAGACTGTAACTCTGCACAGCTACTTATGGGTTGTCAGATATAAACAACTCCTTCAAAACACACAATCTCCAGCCAGAGTGGTCTGACTTAGAGGTCATAGCAGAAAGAGACAGAAGAGCAGAGTCTTACAGCTTTTTCTACGATAGGCATCATGGACTCAAATAACTGCCACAGCTGCAACTTGGAGATGTGGTGCATATTAGGACAAAGAAAGGCTGGCTAACATGGGTGACAGTGAGGAGTGGGACTGGAAACCCAAGATCCTACATCATTAAGGCTGGGCATCAGGAGTTCAGAAGTACCAGGAGACATCTTTAGTTGGCAAAGCATGATAATGACAACTCAGCAGCTTGTCAACTGCCTAACACACCTGTCTATATTTTGCAGAGTAATATTGTCTCTGTGCTTCTGGCACATTATTTACAAAACTGTTGACATTTGCTGCTATATTATGTTACACATAACACCGGCAGATGTCCCTCCATTCCGCTGATTTATATTTTAGAGGGCTCACTGATTGGTGGTGTGGGAGCTCACCGATAATAGAATAGTGCTAATAGAAAGAAGGAGGGGAAATCAGAGCTATTTCATGCTAATCAGTAACTTGACTTTGCACTATTCTCTAAGTGGGTGAGCTTTCCTCTAAACAGTCAAACAGTGTCATTTAGCATCAGTTAGTTTCAACAACCAAACCTGTGCTGTGGCACATTTGGCCTGCTAACTAAGCTCTCTCCACAGAACAGGATTCATACAATGTATTCACTTATTTGTTAACCATTTAAATTTAACAACTTTTTTTTATTTTGAAATAACGCTACATGAGACGGAATAAAGTGTTATAAGTGCACCCCCCAGACCCACGGTCAACCCACTAATACTGTGTGCCAGGGTAATTTTTGGAGATGGTTTGAAGGTATTAAAAATTGTCTAGTGTTAGCAGTCACTAGCTTACAACCTAATTTGCTACATTTTCAATTGTCAGCAAACACTAATGCAACCTAACATACACCTTGATAACAACTAGCTAACTCATGTTATAACTACATACCGCTTTGTTCTGATGAACTGTATGACCAGTTGGACTCAGTAAGCTTTAGGCACTACAAGATTTCAGCTTCCAGGGTCTTTGCTGGTGTTAAAGCAAGACGTCCTCCACTGTGTCTCATACTACTGTCACTGGTACTGGGAGTAGGAGCGGCTTCATTAGCTATTCTCTTGGTGTGGGCTGCAGCAGAGCAGTGATGGTCACTTGGATCGAAGATAATATTCTTGTTGGCTTCATGCAGGTAGCATGCTTCCTACTATTTGTGTGGCTGTAAAGGTCTACCTCTCCCATATTTGATAGATCAATAGCAGCAAAATTTCTGTTTAGCTTTTTTGTCATCTACTCTCAATAATCTTTGAAGTCATCATTTTGTAGCCAATGCTCTTGAAATTTATTTTCCTGGCATGTTTGCTTAGTTAGCAGGTACTGGATACTGCATATCTTGACTGAAGTGACTGCCAGTTGCTGATGATAAGAAAGGGATAAATGGGCATGGAAAAATCCAAAAAATCAAAATAACCACTCACACAATATTGGAAATGCATGGAAATAACATTTGATACACAGCAACTAAAATTTAAAGATGCTACAAACAAAGTTGCCTGACATTCCATGACATGGCCCAAAAAATGATCAAATCCCCTGCCTTTCCATGTCTGGAACAGACTATTTAAAACTGCATGACATTCCAGAAATTTCATGACCTGCGGGAACCCTGCAAACTATGCACAGCAAGGACACAAAGACACAATTCTTAGTAAGGGTGTAAGTACACCAAAAAAAAAAATAGAAATGAGTTTTCGCATGATACAAAGTCCAAGCGAACTGGCAACTCTGTGTACACTGAGGCCTACCTGGAAACCATTGAGGTCGGTAAAAAACCGGTCCTTGCTGTTAAGATCTGATGTTATCCTCATTGCAATTTCACGGTTGAACTCCCCTCTTATATCTATAGAATTACTGATCTCAACAGCCTGTCCATCCACTCCTTGAGTAAGAGAGAGAGAGAGAGAGAGAGAGAGTGTAAGAGTGCATACAAGGATACAAGGGCATGAGAGACAAACAGCTCGACCTCTGTGCTTGAACTTTATAGTAACCATGGCATTGGACTGTAAGAATAGAAAAGATGAGAGACACTGAAAAGCTTCAAAAACATGCGTCCTAATTTTTAGAAACTGAAAAGAAGTATCATGGCAAAAATCCACTCTAAACCTGCATATCCTTTAAAGTGGACACAAAAACAGTTCTTAGTTATAAATGTATGTTCCTTTATAGAAAACAAACCCTATAATAAGAAGAGATACAATGTTTCTGACAGTTGTCATTATAATTAAGTGTTCTGGCACTAAATTTTGAGTTAAAAAAAAACGGAAGGAAGAAAAAATATCTGTGAATGTCTGCCTTTCTGTGAAAAATAAACATGGCTAGAGTTCTTGCTGGATTGTGTGACAGCTGTGAGCTCTTTGATTTAATTCCTTTTTCTCTTTCTTTTCCTGTTTATACTCATCCTACTAAGGCATCTTTCCAAAAAACAAACTGAAGTACAAAACTACCAGGTCAAAAAAATACAGCATTCTGGAACTGTAATAGTATGCAAAATTTCACAAAGGTTGAACCTGTTTTCTCAGTATTAAATGGATCCATTCGTTTTCAGATACATGTCTGAAGCAAAGCAGACCTGTATAGCACTAAACAGACAGCCCAGTATTTTCTCTGCAAGCCAAAAAAAAAATTCTCTGTGAGTCAAATATCATTTAGCTGTAATGCCTTGTCAAGAGAAATCAGTAACACGTAACACACGTAACATAGAGAAACAGACCAACAATGCTAGCTAAAGCCAAGAGTTAAAGCTTGTCAGTGCAACAGCATCAGTATATGATGATTAATGAGGCTATAAGCCTCTCACCATGGATGTTGTAAAGCCGAAGAGTGTGTGTGACATGCGTAAAAGTTGTTGTGACTTCAGAAAACACAGGCCCTTTTGTTACTCGGATCACAGGAGGCTGGGAGGGAGAGCATTTCTGTCAGAGTGAAAGAAGAAAATCAAACAATATCAAATGACATGCACAAAATCAGCATTAGGCAACCCCAATTCACACCAGATGCATCATGTGAGCAGAGCCTAAGTGACCATGCAGCCAAATCACCACTTCTAGTAGGAATATTGGCTTTTTTTTTCTTTTGACCCATTCTAATTTAAAAGTTTAACAGCATTATTAAAAGGTGACAGTGCAAACAGCACAGTCACGAGTTTTTACCCCCTGTCAGGTAAAAGGCCCAAGATAATAGTAGCCTTGAAATGACATTAGTAGAAAGTGATAACTTCTTTACAGGTATTAGGCAATCAAGGAAAATATATATATATATATATATATATATATATATATATATATATATGTGTGTGTGTGTGTGTGTGTGTACAGAGAGAGAGAGTAAATTATGGTTTAATTATATCTTACAATGCAAAAAATGCATGGGAGTGTCTTAATGGTCTTAATGTAATTTAACCTTGACTCCCACACACACAAGTGGAAAAATGCAGATATAAATAATAATAAAATACAGCAGGATGGAAGGGCTCACACTTTGATGAATGTAATATGTGTGTCCAGTTGTGACGGTGTGGTTGAAAGACTCATCTTTTCCATCAGATGAACAAACAAATGATTCGAAAATGCTTTTGGTGTGAATTTGCGTTTAGAGAAGGAAAGAGTATGTGCGTGTGAGAGTGTGCATGTGTCTCATAGTGTACTGAAATGAGAGGAACCCTGAATAAATGTTATGAAACTTGTTGAAAAGTTGAATTACCGTAGCTTCTCCATCAGGAAGAAACAAGTAGGCACCACTCTTGTCCTTTTTGCTGGTTGTTCCATAACACAAAAACTCCACTTTAATTGAGTGCTTTGACCCATCTTCCTTTAGTTTCAGTGTCTGTAAAAGTAAAACATTTCTTCCTTCAGACATCCACAAATCAAAATTAAGTGGGGAATTCCAGGCTAAAACTAGCATTTAAAATGTTATTGTCATGTTATGCAGTATTCTGTAGAGCAGCATTACATCCATTAGCCACACTGGTTGGACAGAAAGGAAGATTTTACACCATTTTCATGTTTTCAGTTATCAATGTTCTCTCACTACAATACCTAGCATGCATTATGCAAATATATCATACAGCCACTGGGAATCTCTGTAGACCTCAACCAATCTGGGTAGCTTGCCTAGCCACTGATCTATGAACTAGCATTAGTGTAACTGTCACTGAACAAGACAAACTTTTTTTATTAAAGAAACAATTCAACTGAAGAATGCATGTGGAGTGTAGTACACATGGATGTGGAATCCATGAGGAGGAGGAGGTGAATGCTGAGGTCAGAGTGTACTGGATAACACTCTTGCCCCACACACAGGAGACTGGGATCCAGAGAGAGTCTGTGAACAACATTACTATCATTCTTATCTCTAAATATGAGCATTTGCTAAATATTTAAAGGTGTTTTTCACAGTTTTCCAGAAAAATCTGTTGAGCAAAAAAGTGGTTTTGGCTACCAGAAAAGACATTTAAACGCCACAGAAAAATTTCACTCTAGAGACAGCTGTGGCACTGCTGCAGGATGTGAGTAGTTACCATCAATACTGTCTCTTAACATGGCCAAGAGCTGGCTACTTTGACAGGAAGGGGCCTTTAGACCTGCAAAATAATTTCACAGGAATGGGGCCTTTAGCCCTGCAAAATAACCAACCAAAAACTGTCGTTTTTGTGAGATGTTGAAGGATACAAGGCTGCAACAACACATCTTTGAGAATGAATGTGGAACAAAGTAGTATGCATTAGAAAATGTCTCATTTACCAGATACTAAGCTCTTCAAAGAAACATGTGATGTCATGAAATGCATAAACTTGTTTTCAGCCCAGCAACTATATCTTGCTCCAAAATATTCATTACTGCACATAGAGAAGGCAAGATCTTACAAAACACTTTCTTCCAGAAGCACAGATTAAATACGGTGCACGAAATGCATACACTTGGACATAACAGCCAATCAGAATTCAACTGACAAAATCCTGATAGTTGTGGACAGCATAATGTGCAAATGCCCTAGAGTCTCACTTTAAGGCACATTTATCATCGCTACATCTGTTGTAAACATTCTTGCTCTTACTCTAGTCTCAGATGCTCAGTGCACTGGAGGGTGGTGCCAAAGTCATTTATAGGAAAGTCTGTCCACTCAATAGCCATCTTGGCAATGACAACTTCAGTTGAGACTGAATTTAGGACAGAATATATTACAGAACAGTTCATATGTTCATAATCTTATCCTAACTCCAGATAAGAAAACAGCAGTACAGAAACATCCTAACTAGACAAAATAAAAAAAAAAAATAGAACTTGTAAATTCTTTTCTAACTTTAGGACAAACCTAAAGGTTTAACTGCCTGTTTTTATCATTTTATGCAGTGACAGGCAGCATAGTTCACTACAGCTAGCGTAATGAGGTTACATTTATGTACACTGAAAACGATGCTTTAAAAGTTTTTTTTTTCTAATAACATTTTAAAAACCCCAGACACTGCAGACACAATCACCACTGGCTCCTCTTATTAACCTCATGTGTTAATATTAATAAAAAACTCATCAGATGAAAAATTACAGTGATGTCAGTAAATAATGAGGAGGTCAGATCTAAAGTAAGACAAAAAAGGAAGTTTCTGCAATATGGCCTCTGGCTCCTATCTCTTTTAATGGGAAGAGGCATATAAAACATGAAACTAAAAGCCGTATTAACGTTTCAAAAACTTTTTTGAAATCACTGATAAAACCTGACAAAAACAGCATACATAGTCTGTAGGATTTGGCTCAAATGACACACAAAAAAACACTTTCACTTTGTTCTGGTTACTGCACAGATCTCCACAATGAAAGGGAGCTTCTCCCACTTGTGGTTGAAACAGCAAGCCAATTTCACTTTTACTAAAGGGCAGGACTTTCCTCATAAACAGATGACATGTTGATCGTTACAAGCTTCCTAATTCAAATTTCAACCAGTGATCTGTCTCCTCCTTTATAACATCTCTAGTGGTGTGACTAAGGCTGAGACTAGGATGAGAGTAGGCATGTTTACAACAGACGCAGTGATATTTTTTTTCATTAATTGAGAATTTGTTGGCTGTTTGACCTCTAATAGTCCTGTAGTAGAAGAGATGGAGAGCTGGAGGTGGGGGTTCTCCATGGACACAGGGACAGCTTCCTGGGGGACAGACACTCTGAAATGCTCTGTCCCGGTAACTGACACGTCTCCACCAGCCTTCAGAAACACGTAGCGGGCCGACTCAGACTGTAGCTCTGCACCCTCACAAAGCTGGTACACAGCCAGGCCCAACGGTGGCACATTAGCTACAAAAGACAACTGTCACCACATGTGTGCGCGCACACACACACACACACACACACACACACACACACAAAATAAATGAGTGTACATTGTTCGGTACACATTCTTAAACAACTTGGAAAAATCTATGTTTTGATTAACAGATATCTTGTTCGGAACTCTGAATTCAATCAAACCCACAACATAACGCCATAGCAGCACAAGTCTGACCTGGAAGGCTTCTGTGGAAGCGTGGCTGACATCTTCCCAGACTGCACTTATCTGCACGTTGACCAGCTGTCCGTGGGCAGTAAGTATGTGCACATGGGGAGTTGTCACATAGATACTTATCACAGACGTCCTGGCCTGCTCACTGGGGTTATATACCACCACTGACCTGAGAACAGCCACCGTCTTAGATTCTTAACCAGTGACCAAAGACCAAAAACAGCTATGTCTTATGCAGAGAGATACTAATACACACTCTACAACTCTGATATTATGTCAGAAGGTGACAGATAGGTGTCAAGAAACCATCTGCAGGGTTCTATAGAGATTGAAGTGATTACCTTGGTGTTGTACTGATCTTAAAGACAGTTTTGCGTGGTAAGGCATCCTGAGCTGGCTGGACTTCATCCTACACATTAACATATGAGGAACTGTTAAGGAGGAGCCATGGCAAAATAACAATTTTTTTTATGGATTTAGAATTTATGCACTTACTATCTGAAGTAGTGGATTTGCAGGGTCATAGGTGTATGTTTGTTTGTCGACAAGCACCAGCCAGTGAGCTGAGCTCACAATCACTCGCTTCACATTCAAAATAGAATGAAACAATCTATAAAAAAAGACACTCATTTGCCTCAATTGAAATAATGTATAACAGTGATTAATAAACCTAATGGCTAATTTTTAATAGCTGTGTCATGTTTTAAATTGCTGTGTCATGCCAGATCTCAGAAAAATAGCAGTTTTCCATTACAGCCATTTTGGAAAAAAGGCCAGGAAAAAAACATTGGTTCTCTATGAAACAGAAGGGGGATTCAGTACCCCAGGAATTAACATGGCAGCATGATATAAACTCTACCTACCCCGTTCACTGGCCCATCCCCTTCAAATTCACAAACAAAAGAAACGGCAGCCTTATCAACCAGGAATACAGAACTTATTAGTAGCTGTTGCAACACATTATATAGAGGTCCCAAACAGCATTTAAACACTTTAACTATTTAAAGAAGTTCATTAGGTAACTTGAAGAAATGTTTAACAAAATAATATTCGTTACAGAGAAACAAATTACACACAACATAAAAAGCGCAACATCAAACTGACAGCAGACTCTGTGTGGAGAAAGCCTGGAGAAGAATTCAAACCAGATTGCACTAAGGGTATTGTGAAGCACATGGGTAGAAAATATAATTATAGAATTATGTATATAAGTTATTATATGATTAATATAATTATATTGAGTTTGTTTGAATGTACACAGTGAGGGGTTCCCGAGTGGTGCAATCGTCTAAGTCTTGGCCCTATCATAAGGAGACTGCGAATCCACAGCCATCCATGGCTGGGTATCCAAGAGAGCAGAATGTAATATGGTAATATGGTATAACAAATGATGAACCTGAAAATGTAATAATTTCCCAATAATGTAATAAGGTATTAGATTATTGGTAAAAATGTTACTACAATAATGGCTAAAACATTCTATTATATTATTAGGCAATGTATTACATTATTAGGTTTTATTACATTTTTGACTGAGTTAAGTGCAAAATTTTATTACATTTCTGGGATTATTATATTGTAAGTGCTACAGTCAGTTCTGGAATTGAAAAGTTCAATATCTTTAGAACTATATTACAAACTCATGATTTTTTTAAATATACATTTATTCATGGGGCTGGAAAATTGTTCAAAACTTTCTGACTGCATGATCGGTCCCCTTTAAGCAAAACAGATTTAACAGTATTCTGACACATCAAACCCTTTTGATTACACACATACATATTACACTGCAATTAGCACTGTGACACTTTCTGAACATCAGCACAAATGACTAAGAGGAGCAAGCTATATACCTGGTTCCGTAATCCACTACAACCCAGTCTTTTCCTGTGCCTGTAATTGCATCATGGTGCTGGAACAAGCCGAGATTTCGTCTTGCTGCAGTTAGCAACTTATAATTCTCTACTGCAGGGTAGTTGTTAGGATTTCCAAACTTTTGTATACTAGCAAAGGCTAGAGAATAAAGAATCTCAGCTGCCCTGAATAGAGAGAAAAAAGATATTTCATTAACATAATTTTTAACTGATATTGCTGTCATGCAAATGTCTGACAACTGCGGTCTGTTCAAAACTGGTCAAAGTCAGAGATTATAATAAGTAGTGACATTTGATATAAAAGACTACAGTTTATGTGTAGTCTTAACCATGATGCAAAATCATTTTCCACAGTAATTTAGTTCAGGACTATTCTAAATATACAAACCTTATACACCACGAAAACATGTCATGTCAGTACAACCAAGTGAAAGCTAATAAGTTAAGCTACCTAGCAAGCAATATTTTTTGTGAAAAAATGTGAGATTTGCATATACTTTCCATACAATTATAGTTGTTTGCACACATAAAACAGCACAGTATCATTTCATGTCAGTGAATGAAATGCTAACCCCTAAAATTCCCAGGCTTACTACATCCTAAGGCTTTTTATTCAGTACCTACATTGTGAGTTATTCTGGACCCAGTGGTGGCTCCTGTCCATTTAAGCTAATTAGCTAGCAAGACACTGTCACTGCCAAAAGCTCTCTTTTTCAACACGTAACACTTCTACTTAACACTAGCCTAACATCCAAAAAGACATGTATTACAATCAGCTAAAATTATGATAATGATAGGCTTAGTTTTACAGAGGTAACCTGAGGAACCTCTCCATGTAACAAGCTCTGTAGCTTTTATTTTTAACGAAATGTTATGAAATATGAAGAACATTACCAGTAACTGGTATATCAGAGAAACTTATTAAACAACATCCCTATAAATCTGGTTTTTATGCTGTTTGTGTATGCTGTTTAGCCCTATTTGCAGGAAGAGAAAAATCTAAATCCCAAATTTAGCCACCCATTTACATACACTTAATGCATTAACACAGTAGTATCTGCATCCAGGCAGTGTTAGAGCAGTAATTAATTCACTCAGTGTAATTAAGGATGGTTATCACGTAGGGACTACGGAAAAGGCAAACAATGCTGGCTTCAGAAAGGACACGTTCAGACCTTTTTCACGTCCCCACTTTGGGTACAGCCAAAGTCACTTGAAGCCACTTGAAAGATGAAGACACACTCAGGTACAGCGGGATGACAAATTTAAATAAAAAAAAAAAAAAAAAAACAACAAAGTGTCTTAATAAGGTGTTGGGCCAGAAAAGCATCAATTCACATTAGCATAGATTATAAAAGTCTCTGGAAGTCTCTGAAGGTATTGTTATCCTTGAAGAAACCACTGCCATCAGGGTAGAGCTCTTTCATCATAAGATAAAAGTGATTAGTCAGAATAGCTTTCTATTGATTTGCAGCCAACAGGGACAAGTGAGCCCAAAACATATCAGCAAAATGCCCCACAGCATAACAGGCTCATAATAGCAGCATAACAGCACAAAAGTCTCAAGAAGACTCAAAAACAAGGGAAAAAACCTCTAAGATGGTGCAGATTTATGCTATGGCCCTAGATTCTAGTACTATGTTAGCACTAAGCTAACAGTGATTCAAAACACATTGCGTGTTTTATTTTAAATATATTAACAACATAAAACTAATATTACTTTGACATATTAATATATATTTTACCTTGTATATGATGGTTTACAGGTAACTTCTTGAGTGAAGAATCCTTGCACATTTTTGTGTTTTCAATTGAGTTTTCAATTTCTGCTAGGCTGATTTCCATTTGTAACAGCTGACAAACAGATTGGTCAGGCTACGAGAAGGCACAGAGTAACACTTTCTCACAAAATTAGTCTGACTAACTGCAATTCAAAATGTAACTGACTCATGTCATTGTCAGTTCCTAGTTATTTTATTGGTTAATCAGACACGTTTGGCCTACACTCCATCTCATTTAGTCCTAACCAAAGTATCTACTTTGATATGACAGATGAATAAAAAATCCTCACTGAACAATTTTCTGTTGGGTGTTTTAAGTATTTAACTATTTTTCTTTCAAACCAAAATGTGGGAAATAAGTATTACTATACTTGAGTGATGATTCTATTATATAAAAATATGATTTTTTTTTATATAGAAAATGGAATATTACAGACATCTACATTAGGCATTCTTGTCTAGGCCTAAAAGGCTCCAAGGGTTCACCTCTAATAATATCACTTGCTATGTAGTTCTTGACAAATTGCTTTTGGTGACACAATATAATGTGATCACATATTGCACTGATATTCTCCTTCACTTGAGGAACAGTTGCTTTTCTATTTTACCCTACATACCACACTAATGCATAAGCATCATAGCCATTGAATGTGTGCTTTCAACCACAATTTCCAACCTGATATCTTGCCCATAGATTTCTCAAATGCAAATGTCACTTTAGTCACTGTTCCTATTAAAACACTAGCTTTACTGTGTCATGCAGAACACCTGTCTGGAAGCATCTGCACTCATGTCTCCACTTTATCCTTTATTTCTTTCATTCAGAACAGGTTCGCTGTGAGTTCAAAATTATACACTTCTGTTGATGCAGTGAAATTAAACAGGTTTTCAAATGCACTTGGCACAGAATTCAAGTTCAGCTCATCCCACCAAAATAAATGTGTCTTCAATAAAAATGTCAAATTAATTACTTATTAATTAACTTATTAACTTCGTAATGTCATGTGATTCAGTTATTTTAGCTGAACAACTCATTTACTTGCCTTTACAAGACGTCAGAAATTGAGCCGGTTATCCGGTATTCTGAATTTATAGTATACAGCTTACTATACCGAGGTCCAAAGGTCAATTTTGTCACCAATCATGACATATAGTCTTTTGATAAATTCTACTTCCCTTATTTTCATTCATTTTCTGTCTGTGTATTGCCTGTGTATACCCCAAAACTGTTTCTAAACAAATGCAGTTTGTAATAACGCATTAACAATGCTCCAGTCCTACAAAGCCAAATCAGCCACACTGGAGTCTTCTGTAAATTCTCATCTTCAGAGATTCAGAGATCTTTTGACTGTGATTGTTTTTTTTGTGGGTGCTAACTAGGTCTATTAGCCACTGTGTGCTGTCTAGAAATAGCTACTGTACCTGAGGTGGGACTCTAGCGTGCGGTCCAGCTGTTTGTAAAATGGTCTAGAAGTGAAGTAACCGCTCCAGTAGTGGTCGTCTCTGTCAGCGTATGTGAAGAAATCGCCACTTAGTACAGGAAAAGGTGACACTCCCGCACTCATGCCAACCTTGTCCATGCCAACATTTTTGCGCAGAATTTCAAAATAATCCGAAATGGTACCAAACTGGGCCTGAAGTAAGATTTTTAACATCAAGAAATAAACACATGAATATAGATACATAAAGATACAATGCAATAAGTATGCATCCTTATCAGTGTAACTACGATTGCATACAAGGAGCTGTAATATCCTAACTGGCGCCTGCTGGCTTTAATTTAGTGCTAACCATGTTAGCGATTACAGAGTGTTACATGAACTACTGCCTTAAGGGGTGGAAATACCAGTGACCACTTAAAAACTAAGACCTGTACATGAAGCTCAGGATGGGAGTTCATGTAGTCAAAGAGCTTCTGGTAGTTATTGAACTGCTGATCCCATTCCTGAGCCTCTGTGTAGCGGAAGTCATCACCCAGTGGAACCAAAACCACCTTGGTCCTGAAGAGTTTGGACTTCTTCCTGTATTGGTCCAACAGCAAGAGAGCCCTTAGAACAAAAAGATGGAGAAGATCAAGAATCTCATTAAAAATATTCAGAGCTTCTCTAAACAAAAAAAAAAACAAAAAAAAACAAATCAATAGTATTCTATCAGAAACCTAACCTTAGGTTAGACCTTACTAGACCTAAGAGATTGATCAATTTAACACAAACAGTCAACTGAATATAGCACTGACTGAACAAAAGGTTGATCAGCAGTTTGTTCTGTACAGCATAATGCAAAATCAACATCAAAGGAAAAGTTTCTTGAAAGTACATATTAAAAATATAGCTGCAAGCAGCAATGAGCAGGTTCAAGTATGCATCAGCAGTAAGAGCCCTTCTGTAGTTTATGCCAGTTACGCTGTTTGGGCCTTGTTTTATGCAGAGTGAATAGAACTAAAAGGAAGTCATTTTGTCAAAAGGCCTACAATTGCCATAAACAATGAGCAGTGGTCTTTAAACATAATATATATGTACATTCATATGTTCTGATCTACAAATGTTTGTAGAACATCCAAAGAGATTGTCAACATAAATGTCAAAAATACATAACTAATGGCATATTTTCTCACATTTAACCCTTTGATATGTATGTCATAATGAGCTCCAATCCACCTATAATGGGCCCTTTTAGCATAGAGGAACTAAGTGAAAGTGGGTCAGAATTTGTCAAAAGGTCTCAGTATGATATGATTACAGAGACCTTCAATGAAGATGTTCACAGAGTTTTGTTCAGACTGACCTTTTGACCTTTGTATAATAAGCTGTAGTCTTTGAATAAGCCAAAATTCCAGACAAGCAGTCCAATTTCTGACATAACATGTAATTACAATGTTATTCAGGTCAGAAGTATTAATTAGCATATGGCAGCCATATTGTTTAACAAAGTCACAATTTTTTGATAATTATCGAGGTTCAGGCTCTTCTGAATTTTTTGACACCAGTTGCATGAGGATCGGACAAAAACTCTAGGACTAGTTCAAAACCTAAAGTAGGTTTTGCATATTATGCAAATTTGCAAAAAATCGAAGTTCCAAATTACAAAGTTGTTTGTCTTCACCCAAGTAATCAGAAAAAAATGAAATTTGTCTCAAAAAAAAATTGAAAACTTGTTTTGCTGTGCTATAGCGCCCCCTTTAGGCCGATTCGGCTCATGTTGTGCGTCTGAGTAGCGGGAGAGACTACTACTTATTGACCAAGTTTCATGTCTCTAGGACTTACGGTTTGGTCTGGGCCATTTGTTTTAGGTTAGATAAAGAATAATAAGAAAAATTTTGCATTCAATAGCATTGGTGGGGGTTCTCACATTTTTACCACTGATCAGATTTTTGGATTTTATAAATCTTGTAGTGTGGGTCAGGCATGAGATGAGAGAAATGTTCACCTCTTGTGTTGCTCACAGAACGCCTCATGGATGCATTTTAGGAACATGTAAGGATGATCTTGCCCACTTTGTCTACAAATGATCGGACATGGAGATGGATAAAGTAGCAAAACATTTTCACTGAACTACAATTATTGTTACTTTAAAATAATACATACTCAAGTAAAACTAGTCATCTAAATAATTACTTCAGTAAGAGTAAGAAAGTATCTAGTGAACAAACTATTCAAGTAGCGATTTTCTTCACAGGACAAATATGTGTATCCAGATCTCCATGAATGCACGTGAGTAATAGCTCCAATAATGATTTAAAAGCAACAAACAAATCATCAATAAGACTGACAATTTAGCAATAACAAACGAGCAATCTACCAACTAACACACACATACAATCATCAGCATGAGAACAGCTAATGTATTGCTACCTTTTTGCAGATAAAATGAACCACAGGACAGAAACAATTCCTGTGGGAAAACTTTCATATTGTGCATCTCTTCATTTTATGTTCAATCACGTGCTGATTTGTTTTATTTTCAATTAATACTTGTGACTTGTTGTACAAACCCAATTCCAAAGTTGGGACAGTTGGAACATGCTTAAAAAACAGAAAGCAGTGATTTATAACTCTACTTTGACCTGTATTTGAGTAAATATATCTTCATTCTGAAATTGATGCCTGCAACATTCCAAAAAAGTTAGGACAGGTGTAATGTAAAACTTGGAATATTGTGAAACGGGTGATGTAATCATGCCTGGATATGAAAGAAGCATCCAGGAAAGGCCTAGTCGTTCATTAGGAATTATTATACTATTATTATAGACCTTTTTCAATTTTTCCCTTTCTATCAAAGATCTTGGAGAAAGCAGGGTCACAACAACCTACTTGCTCCTACTTGTATAGGAACCACATAATCACATTGCAAATGACCCCTTATTATTTTCTAACCAAGGAGTATCTTTACTGGTTCTGTTTGATCTTAGTGCAGTATTTGATACAACTGACCGTGCTATCTTACTAGACTCATCATTCCTGGTTCAGATCTTACTTGACTGATCACTATCTGTTTGTACAAAAGTAAAATTTGGTGTTCCACAAGGCTCTGTTTTAGGACCTCTTTTATTCACATTATATATGCTACCATTGGGTACTATTATCATTAAACATGGCATCAATTTCCACTGCTACACTGGTAACACACGATTCCAGCATGAGTTGGGGTCTGGAGTTCTCTGTGTGCTCTGTTTTTGCAGGGGTTAGGAATGTTTAAATTAAGGGGCCCCCTGGTCCAAAGCCCCAGCGGAAGTAGGCCTCTCACTTTCTCCCTTCTTCTCTTAGTTCCAAATAGATGAGATCATTTTAAAAAGGACCATGTCTCCTGTTTCAACAACAAGTCCAATATATAAGCAGCTGGAATATTCTGTTCTAGAGGGGACATTTAGAATTGGCACGGATCCTCTCTCAGGTACTTTATAGTGCTTGATATGATACTGTTTTACTTTGTAATAAACATCTTACTGGCAAGACAGTGTCAACGGAATTTTCCTTCACCTCATCTTCACATCATCGCTACTTGATAAACAACAAAGTCTAGGCTAAAAACCTACTTTTCTAGTCAAGCTGTCGTCCTACTCCTCTTACATACTTACTCAGGTTTGTTGACTGTGGAGTGGAGGGGTGCTGACATCTCAGGGGGCCCTCATGTCTTTGCTATGTTCTGGCTCTGCCTTTTTATTTTGGCAGTAACAACTAGGTCTGCCAGGGTCACTGCTTGCACTCTGTAAACACTATATATTGTTCTCAGTCACCCTAAACAGAACTGTCTGTGTGTTTTTCTGCCAAATTGAAAAACTGCTCATCCCGTGTGGTCTGATGCTGCTTCATCTGCCTTCATTGGGTGCCCCTGCTCTCCCACATTCTGGACCAGTTTTACCACCAGCTTTCTGTGGTCCAATGCTGTGCAAAAAATCCCAACTAGCATGCCACTCACCCTCATGAAGATATTAGAGCCTTGCTCTTAGGAAGTTGCTCCTTGCTACTGTCAACCTTGGCTTGCTCGCCGGGGTTTGGGCCAGAGAAGAAAAGGACAATTGAGACTGTTAAGTTTTAAAGCCAGGGTCTGTCATGGTCTGGGGGGTAAACATGGATAACTTGCACATCTATGTAAGCACCATTAATGCCGAACACATTTTAGAGCAACACATGCTGCCTTTAGGTGGCGTCTTTTTCAGAGACGTCCATGCTTATCTGAACATGACAATGCCAAGCCACATTCTGCATGTGTTACAACAGCATGGCTGCATAATCAAAGAGCACAGGTGCTAGACCGACCTGCCTGTCTCCAACTGAAAACAAGTGGAGAATTACCAAGCTCAAAATATGACAGAAGAAGGCAAAAAACTGCTTTTAAAACTATATCAATTGGTGTCTTCAGTCCCCAAACGATTATTAAGGTGTTGATGTTTTTGAGTTTGAGGTTTTTTTTTTTTTAACATCTGTTGACAGATAATGAATCAACTTAAAAAAAAAAAATTTTGAGCATATTGGTTTGCAATAAAAATTCTGGCTGCAACAATCAGTGCAAATGCCATTTGTTAATCCAAATTAATCTGATGACTTTTAGCAGGGTCGAATCCTTTTGAAAGGCACTGTATATGAGGCCAGGGGTGTCCACATGCACCTAAGGCTGTATTGCACCTTGCATATTTGTTCCTCCGTAAATCTGCAGTCTCTCTCTATTTTATGTTGTCTTATTCTATTTTATTTTAATTTTTATTTCTACTTTTGATTTAGGTAGCTTGTAACAAAGTGCACAATGAATCTCGTTGTACTTGTACAATGGGGTGTGACTATCAACAAAGGCACCAATCAGGATAAAGGACGAACTTTGTAAGAACAAGTACATGTAAAAATACATTTCTTTTCATTACTAATATACTTAATCATGAACATAAAGTGCGCTCTATTAAAACAATTCGTAAAACTACAATGTATACCAAACATTTACTTAAGTACCCAAGTAAATGTAGTGCATTACTACCCACATCTTGATCTCACATAAAGTTACCAGCGGATTTACAACACATGAGAATGTGTGTAAATTTATTCTAACTCTCATTTAAATGTTAATGAACCCTAATTAGTCAAAATTAGTCAGCAACAAGAAATTATCACATAACAAGCTCCAGACATCACCATATGAGGTCATTTCACAGGACAGGCACAGACTGAAACACATGCAGAAATGCCTGCAAAACAAGGACAAACATTGTGTTTTTATCGGTCCAGTACCCAATCTGCCTCACAGATCTCAGAGACCTGGCTATCAGCGGAGATTCCCAACGAGGCCATTGAGCCCGCGGGCTTCTCTGCGCTCCGCGCGGACAGAACAAAGCACCTTTCCAGGAAGAGTAAAGGGGGAGGTGTATGTTTTATGATCAACAATGCTTTGTGTGATCAGAGGAATGTACACTTCATCGAGTCTTTCTGCTCCCTAGACCTGGAATATCTAATCATCTCGTGCAGATCGCTGTGGCTGCCAAGAGAGATTCCAGGGGTCATTGTCACTGCCGTGTACAACCCACCACAGGCTGATACAGACCTGGCGCTCGGGAAACCGTACG